ACAGACCCCCCTTTGCCTGGAGCCACAGCCCAGGACCCTGCTTTGGTCAGAGACCGGACCCCAGTGAAACCAACGTGATGGTAAGGATCTGCCTCTGGAGGAAACTGCCTCTGGCCTCTCTGGGAGCAGGGGTGAGGGTGAAACCCCCGGTGCGGCTCAGAGATAATCCAGAGGCGGCCGGGGGTGCAGAGCACACGTGGGGGAGAGTTTAAATTGTAACTTTGGGGGGGGGGTTGTTGGACGAAAAATGCCTCTTTGACCAACACCCAACTTGTTGATGAAACAAACAGGCCCCACATCCGAAACCGCTTCGCTTTTGGTACCCAATGGTCAGGACTGGGGCTCGGGAAAGCAGCATTATTTTGGGCATAAGCTTTTGTGGGTTAAAAAACCCCATGAAAAGCCTACGCATGAAAGCGTATGCCCAAATAAATCTGTTAGGCTTTAAGGTGCCACCGGCCTCCTCATTGTTTTTGTGGATACAGACTAACACGGCGACCCCCTGATACGCAGCATTATTTTGTGATGACTGATTAGTTGTGTTCTGAAAACGGAACATTCTTGTTTAACCAAACACCGAGTTTTGGGTTCAGTTTTTCGTTTAGGTTTTTCATAGGGGAAAAAAAGTCATGGGAAATTTTAAAACCAATGAAAACCTTTGCAAAATGTCCCACCCGAACTGAATTGGTCTGGCCCAGCAGCTGTAATTCAGAGGCGGTTGGGGGCTGGGTTTGGTCAGTGGATTTAGTGCTGAGAAAGGAGGTGGGGGGGGAGGGGGGGAGCCTGCTACTGGCCGCTCCCCAAGCCCCTGGCCCTGGAGGAACCTCCCCACCCCCACCCCCACCCAAGGAATCTGTCTCCAGGGCAAGAATTTGCGATAGGAGATAGTTACTGGCTGCTTGCTGGGAGCCCCAGGTGGAGAACAGACAATGCAATGACAATGGGCCTTATTTGTACAGCCTCTTAAAGACAAACTGGGTCCCCAGAGTGCAAACACAAAGCTAAACTCCCCGTGCAATAGCAAAGGGGGTGTGGGAGTGTGTCAGGAGTGCAGCAGATGGGGAGTCAATACAGCACGGCTGCTCTTGCACCAACAGTACTGAGACTTGGGGGGGGGGGGAACAGGGCAGGTTCCAGGAGAGATCTGGGGAGGGGAGCTGAAAGAGAAGTGAGGAAGCAGCCTTGGGGTTCTAATCCAGGTCTGCTGCGTGTGCCAAAGGGGGTGTCTACACTGCAGCTGGGAGCGAGCCGCCCAGCCCGGCTACACAGCCACAAGCCAGTGCGCAAGCAATAGTCGTGTGGACGTCAGAGCTGGTGTGGTGTTGGGTGGGCTTGATTGCTAGCAAGAGTCTGTCTACCTGGGCTGGGGGGCTCCGCCCACCTGCAGTGAAGACAGATCCTGGCTTTCCTCCCTTGTAATGCTGGGATAGGGACGACTTTGTAGCTTGGCGATTGGGGGCGGAGGGTCTCCTCCGAGCTGGTGTTGAGGCAGTAGCACGTTCTCAGAGGGAGGGTAAAGGATCCCCCTCAGTTTTATGTAGTGGGGATGTATAGGAAAGGGGCGGGGGAGAGGGAAATGACCATGTCTTGCAAATCCAGGAGTTGCGATTACAGATCCGGTTGGACTGGGCCGCACTGGCTTTTCATGGGGCCCATTTTCAGAGGGATTTCCTTGTGGATGGCCCATTTCCCCAGCAGGAGCAGCAATCTCGCTGGCGTTAAGGACCCTGCGCGGCCCAGCCTCCCAGGCTACGCCCAAGCCCCTTTCCGTCCACACACAGATCAGGCTGACTCGGGTCAGCGAGCACCCAGGACCTGGCTCCTAGGTCCTGGCTGGGGCATGGGTCAGAGCTGAGCCCTGCTGCGACTCGGGCCCACGCCCTGTCGTTGTGCAGTGTGGACGCAGGCCCGAGTCAGAAGGTCGATGTAGCGCAGAGGGATGTGCTAACCCAGCTGGGAGACCCGGCTCCAGGGATTGGAAACCCAGGCTCACAATGCAGCATGGACGCTTGAGTGCAGGGCAAAACGTTGAGTCCACAAGCCCGGATCGGGCAGCCCCGGGTTTACATACGGTGTGGATGCACCCCAGGGAGCTGGGTGGCCATACAGGGGTTTGCAGCTGCAGTTAGAGAGCCGTTTACAAAGGCAGCTTCTAGCAGGCCAGGGATTGCCTGCTGTTGGGCAGTGGAGTGCCGGGGGGGGATCGGGCGTTCCTGTCTTGAGCGAGCTGTGGTCAGCCCCACTGATAGGAAAGGAGCCTTCTGGGCACCCAGGAGCAGTAACTACAGCTCCTGCGTCTTTGTGTTGGTGCCCACTTTGTAACGAGTTTCGGGGGTGAAAGTGACCGTTCTCCAAAGCCTGAGGAGACAGCTCCACACACGTGGTCCGAGTATGATCCCGTCCGAGCCCCTAGGCATGGACTTGGGCAGCAAGCCCCTCCCACGCTGTCGTTAGCTCTGATCCAGCTAGTGCAGGTACGTCTACACAAGCAGTTACCTACACCCCCAGCTCCAGTGCACACATCCCCGCTGTCATGGTGGGAAACAGCAGAGGGTGTTTTAGTGTCACACGCCCCATTCCAAACCGGTAACAGCAGGAACAGCACCTTCCTTCCTCTCCTCCCCTTTCTCTCTTAATCCAAGCGCCATCACTAGAGCTGGCCAGAGAAGGGAATTTCCATTGCCCAGTCAATTCCGGCGGGTCGACATTTTTGTTCCATTTTGCATCAGAATGAATATTAGCATGGCAGAATTTCCAGCAAAATGGACCGATCCATTTCAGTGCCTGCCTGCTGGGCAGCCAGCCAGCAGACATGCCAGGGAGCCAACCGGCAGGCCTGCCTGCTTTCCTGCCAGCCCCACCTGCCAGCTCTGGAAGCTCTGGCTGGCAGGTGGGTGGACTGGCTGGCGGGCTGGCAGGACACCGTGCAGACTGGCTTCCAGTGAAAGCTGTAAGGAATTGACACGTTCCTGGGGAACATTTCAGTTGCTTCGGGTCAGCATCTTTCTATGGAAAACGGTTCCATGGAAAAACTTTCAACCAGCTCTACTCGTCTGCAATGGCAGCAGCTGCTCGCGGTAAATGGGGTGGTGGCGGGGCATTCTGACACCTACACATACAAAGCACCCTGCCTGTACACCCCTCAAAGCCCATTTCCTTCTGTGGACGACACATGCCACAGCAGACTGTCACCCCTCAACCTGCACCCTCCAAACCAGGGGCAGAAAAGGGCAAGCCAGGGTGTTAGGTGGGGGCTTTGCACAGGGAGCAGTCGGGGTGTCAGAGGTAGGAGGGGAGCAGGGTGGGGGCTCTGCGTGGGGATCTGGCAGCAGTCAGGGTGTCAGGGACAGGAGAGGAGTGGGGTGGATGCTCTGTGTAGGGAGTGGGGGAGTGTTTGGGGTAGGAGGGGAGCAGGGTGGGTGCTGAGCATGGGGAGCGTTTGCCAGCATTTCTCTGGAGTTTTCCCTGCTCCCACAGCCGTGCTAGACATGGGACCCCATCGTGCTGCTGCTGCTGGTGTGTTGAAGTCCCTCCCTTTGACCCTGTGTGGACACAGGGCTGGCGAGAGGCGCTGGATTGACAGCCCCTGAAGTTCATTATCCCCTGGAAGCTGTTCAGCAGAGGTAGCTGAGTGATCTCCACCACCTGGAGTGGCCGACTCGGCGAGGAGACGTTGGTTCACTCTCCTGTCCAAAGCCCAGTGCTAGTCCCCATCGTCAGTGCTGGGCTCTAGGTGTTAGGTGCAGGCCAGCCATGCCCTGCACATGGCCTGGCTTCTGCATAGCCCTCAGATGGTGATTACCAGGGGCCGTTCGTCGCTCCGGATCTGACCTGCAGAGGCAGCCTCGGTATCTAGTTATCCTTATCCCATTGTCCCCTCTCCTCTGGTTTTGACCATTGACTGTTGCTGTCAAGGGAACATAGGAACAGCCAGACTGCATCAGACCCAAGGTTCACCTAGCCCAGTGTCCTCTCTCTGACAGTGGCCAGCAGCAGAGGCTTCAGAGGAAGGAGTAAGAAACCCCACAGTAGGTGCTTATAGGATAATCTGCTCCCACATAGGTCACTTCCTGGTCTCTCATAATTAGAGACTGGCATAAGCCCTGAAGCGTGAGGTCCAATAATTAATATGCCTTCCAGAATTCCATTGTCATTAATTATGATCGCTCTGGATATGCCTGATATCCATATAAATATTCAGATCCTTTTGCAATGTTGTTCAGTTCTTTACCTCAATAACTTCCTGCGGCAGGGAGTTCCACAGTTTAATCACATGTTGTGTGGAAAAAATCATTCCCTTTGTCAGATTTGATTTGTTTTTGTCCTAGGTTCATGGGCAGGGAGGGTTCAAGTTCCAAAACTGGGCTAGGACCTACGGCTCCTCTCCAGAACTGTTCTTCCAGCCAACATCAGTAGAGGAGATCAAAGAGGTAAGAAAGAGGTTTCAATTGTACGGTCCGTTGGAATAAAAAGCCAAGGCAGAATTGGTAGGTGGAAGGCTCAGGGCTGAGGTATCCTCCCTTCCTTCTGAGTATCAACCCAGCCCTCACCAGGAATGCAGAATAACCACCAAAACCTCCAAAGTACAGAGCATGGGCTCCTCTCAGAGATCCCAAGGCCAGAAGGGATCGCAGTGATCATCTAGTCTCGCCTCCCGTATAGCACAGGCCAGAGACCTGCCCCACAATAATTCCCGGAGCAGAGCCTTTAGAAAAACAGCCAGTCTTGATTTAAACATTGTCAGTGATGGAGAATCCGCCTGCAGGTTCTTAGAACTGTCCCTCTCCCTGATCAGAGCCATGTCTTGAACTAAAAGTAGCAGGAGGAGGGGGAGGAGAATCTGCACTCCAAAGCAAAACGACCTTTTTAGACTCAAGGTGAAATTCTGGGGGACGCAACACGAGGTCCAGGTACCACTTTAGTCCATTTAAGGGGTGCCTAAACCTCAGGCTGGCATCTGCATGCAGTGGATTTCACCCCTTGGGGATGGTCAGGGTAAATACACCAGCTACTGCCCCTTTGAGGATAACTGGCAAGATTTTATTTTACTGGTTGCATATGCGTTAGCAACTTTGCCCTGTTTATTCACCTGTGCTGTAGTAAAGCTTTGCTCCCTCTAGTGGCTGGAGGCCTAGAGAGGACAGCAGTGTTACCACAAGTGCTTGCTGTGTTCTAGTCTTATCCAGCTCAAATGGTCTCACTGCTACTCTTGTACACGAGCGTCCTGGGTTCGAGCCCTACGGGCAACTGGTTCTCCATGTGTTCAGGGCTCAGAGTGCGGACAGCATCCACAGTGTGATGTCTTTGCAGATTTTGGATCTGGCCAGGCAGCGGAGTAAGAGGGTGAAAGTGGTCGGTGGTGGACATTCCCCTTCGGACATCGCCTGCACGGATGACTTCATGGTTCAGATGGGGAAGATGAACAAGATCCTCAAGGTATTGTAGGTCCCTGCTTTGCCAGGTTGTGGGATCTCCCCAAAGCATTACGGATAGGGACACATTGGTGTAACATTCCTATTAATGCAATTCAGTAATTATTATGCGTCATAGTAGTAACAATAACAGTGAGAGCTGATCCAAAAAAGGGGAGGGGGGGGAATCACACACAAAAAACCCAACATTTTATCCCGAATCTTGGGGGGGGGGGACCTCAAATTTTGAAATGTTCCAAAATAAAGAACTTTCAGGCAACTCTCCAGCTGGTCAAAAAAACAGGGTTGCAGGAGGAAATTAGCAAAAGTCACCTCAAAATTGTGCCTCATTTTAAACCCTAAATTCAAAACATTGTGACCAGCTGTATATAATAAAGTAGTGTTGCTTTAATCTGTGCTTTGCTCTCACACACACTTCACAATCAACATAAAAATGGCCACACTGGGTCAGACCAAAGGTCCATCTAGCCCAGTATCCTGTCTTCTGACAGTGGCCAATGCCAGGTGCCCTAGAGGGAATGAACAGAACAGGTAATCATCAAGTGATCTGTCGCCCATTCCCAGCTTCTGGCCAACAGAAGGTTAGGGACAACATCCCTGCCCATCCTGGCTAATAGCCATTGATGGACCTATCGTCCATGAACTTATCTAGCTCTTTTTTGAACCCTGTTCAAGTCTTGGCCTTCACAACATCCTCCGGCAAGGAGTTCCACAGGTTGACTATGCATTGTGTGAAGAAATACTTCCTTTTGTTTGTTTTAAACCTGCTGCTTATTAATTTCATTAGGTGACCCCTAGTTCTAGTGCTATGAGAAGGAGTAAATAACACTTCCTTATTCACTTTCTTCACACCTGTCATGATTTTATAGACCTCTATCATACCCCCCGCCCCAGTCATCTCTTTTCCAAGCTGACAAGTCCCAGTCTTATTCATCGCTCCTCAGACGGAAGCTGTTCCATACACCTCAACATTTTTGTTGCCCTTTTCTGTACCTTGTCCAGTTCCAATATATCTTTTTTGAGATGGAGCGACCAGTTCTGCACACAGTATCCAAGATGTGGGCGTACCATGGATTTATACAGAGGCAACATGATATTTTCTGTCTTATTATCGAACCTTTTCTTAATGATTCCCAACAGTTTGTTTGCTTTTTTGACTGCCACTGCACATTGATTTCTGCTCCCCTTCCCTCCAGCTCTCCTCTATGGCAGGGCAGGGGGCAGGTTGAACCCATCTGGGGCCTGGCACTGACAGATTGGGATAGCTGGGGGCGGGGGGCCCCACAGGGAACACTGCTAATTCCAAGCTAATAAATCACCAGAGCTCAGTCATTACCGATAATCATCAGCAGCTTTTAATTACAGGCAAGGCCTGTTCCCTGATGAGCATAGCTTGCAGTGTTAATGAACTGGCTGTGGAACAACAGGGGTAGAAGCATCTCTGTTAGCCTGGCTGAGCAGTGACAGCAGGGCTTACAGACCACGGGCATGATCCAGAATAGACGGTGTCCCCAAGCAGAGCAAGGGGTCGGGAGGCACAAGGGGGTCAATGCACCGGGTGGGGGCAGAGGCGTTGAGTCCTGTAGAGCACAAGCTGGAATGGTTTGGGTGGGTCAGGCTCGTCCCAGGTGGGTGGATTTTTCTCTGCACTGCAAAGTGGTCTGATTCTGAGCAGGGTTGGAGAAAGGGAAAGGACTGGAGTTGCAGGGAGGCTGCCGGTCAGTGCTGAGGTACATTGGCAGAGCTAAGGGAGGAAGATCTGGGCTGGAATAGCATCGGTTCCGGCAACACTGCTCTCTGCACCATCTCCCCTTTGCATATTGGTCCATGCTAAATCTCCTGGATTCATCCCCTGAGGTGTTTTACTAGAGAAGCTTCAGGATGTGTAGCTCAGAGGTTGGGTTCAAACCACAGTAATCCCGGTGGAGGTGCTCTGCGAGGAGCCTGGACTCATTGCATAGTCACACTGGTGACTGCTGCGAAGGCATGTTGCCCACATTCACCTTTAACTAGCAGAGAGGGATAGCTCAGTGGTTTGAGCATTGGCCTGCTAAACCCAGGGTTCTGAGCTCTATCCTTGAGGGGGCCATTTAGGGATGTGGGGCAAAAATTGTCCTGCTGTGAAGGTAGGGGACTGGACTTGATGACCTTTCAAGGTCCCTTCCAGTTCTATGAGATAGGTATATCTCCATTTATTTATTATTATCTTCAGGAAAGGGAAGGTGTCCCGTTTGGCTCTTGGCCCATTTGTGACCTTGGCCAAGAGCTTGTCTTGTTGGGAGATAAAGTGAAAGGCATGAGGAGACTTCCCTCCAGGCATTGTCCTCTGGAGGTGCTCCAGAGACCTTCTTCGGGAAGTGAGGGTGGTGTATAAGGTCTCGAATTCCTATTTCTGGAAATATCAGGAGAGATGCTTTTTCTCCTGGGGCATCTGGCTGGAAGCAGAAATGCAGGGGCACCTGAAAATAAAACAATGGGGGGAGACAAGACATTTTATCTCAACTTCTGGTCATCTCGAGAGTTTGGCTCAAGTCTTTGTCTAAAGTTCAGGTGGGTTCTTGTCCTGTGAAGCAGTTCCAAGACTGGAGTCCCCTCTATTCACGGAGCTGGCAGAGCGTTAGAGCAAGCTGCCCCTCCCGACACACCCATCCTTCCCCAGACACAGTGTGTTTCAACAGCAAGGACCTCTCTGTAGACACAGGAAGGTGGGTCCACACTCCGTGGCACATTTGAGACTCTCAAGGAGGACCGCTGGGGCCAGCTGTGCTGGTGGGATTTGTGCTGGGGACACTTGTTCTCTAGGACCTGGAATGAGACCCACCCGCTCATAGGCCACCAAGGAGCCAATTTCAATGGCTGCCCAGCTGGGCCAGGTTCTGACTCGCAGCCCAGGCATGGAACGCTATGTATCACCTCTCATTCCTCTCACCAGACAAAACCCAACCAACCACCTTGGTTTGGCTTTCGCCTTCTGGTTCTATGCAGCTGCCCGGCAAGGGGGTTGATTCGCAGTGCGAACTGTGCCCAGGGGTGGTGACAAGCAGTGGGGCGCTTCTCTCTAGGGCCCCGAATACAAGTCCTCCGAGCTTATCTCTTGCAGGTGGATGAGGAGAAGAAGCAAGTGATGGTGGAAGCGGGAATCCTCCTGTCTGATCTAAACGTCGAGCTGAGCAAGTACGGGTTGGCCCTGCCCAAGTAAGTGAGCTGTTTGCTGTGTCAGTGTTATTCAGGACAACCTTAATGCTTTTCTGATCCTGGGACTCCTTCATTACCCCAAGCCAGGATCTAGAGCTTGTCTACACAGGGAAATTTACCGGGATAAGCGAAACTGGAAAAAGGCTCTCTTATTCCGGAGTAAGAGAGTCCACATGGTAATTAAACTTCCCTGTATAGACAAGACTTTACTTATACACTGTATAGTTCAGCAGCATGCCCCAGACCAATGATTTATCTTCCTTGGCTCCAAACAGGCAATAGATTTCCCTGCTGGGAATGCAGGACACGGGGAAGAGATTCCCGATGGCTCTTCAGTCTAGGACAGGGGTCGGCAACCTTTCAGAAGTGGTGTGCCGAGTCTTCATTTATTCACTCTGATTTAAGGTTTCGCGTGCCAGTAATACATTTTAACGTTTTTAGAAGGTCTCTTTCTCTAAGTCTATAATATATAACTAAACTATTGTTGTATGTAAAGTAAATAAGGCTTTTAAAATGTTTAAGAAGCTTCATTTAAAATTAAATTAAAATGCAGAGCCCCCCGGACGGGTGGCCAGGACCCAGGCAGTGTGAGTGCCACTGAAAATCAGCTCGCGTGCCGCCTTCGGCACCCGTACCATAGGTTGCCTACCCTTGGTCTAACATTAGGCCCAGAATGAACTAGTCTGCGAGTCTGGAGATTACAATAGCAGGGAGTTTTTGTGGTTTGCTGGGGAGAGGCTGTTTTGTTGTTCTTTGGCATAAGGGCTTGTTCACCAGGGCCGGCTCTAGGCACCAACGCTCCAAGCATGTCTGTCTCTCTTACACAATGGCAGTCAACAGTGCAAACTGCCAGCACTGGGAACAAGGATTCTGGCCACTTCTCAAGGCTCTGAGCCCAGCAGCTAAGGACCTGCAAATAATCCTGTCCGCTTCCGCTAGATGTGTTGCAAGAGGGAAATTCAGCTTTTTTCATCCTCCTGGTAGGGGAAGACATGGTTAGTGTGGGAGATGTGTTCTCTGATTTTCTGGAATATTACAGTTGTTGTGTGACTTCCTCGAGCATCAGCTTTCTCCATAGGCAGAAAATAAATACTTGCATACCTTTGTCTTCATGAAGACGACCCTCCCCTTATCTTACACAAGTCAACACCAGGGACAATATTTGAATCAGGTGAGATGTAGCCTCACAAAAATATCTTTAATAACTCCTCTGTCTCCATTGCTGGATTGCCATTGTTAATTGGCATAAGGATAGCTTTTGCTAGAAGTTATGTCCTTCGTAAGAGTTTGTCTCTCCAGCTTCACATGTGCAGGCGTCAGTGCTTTCAGATGCTGGAGAAGAACTCCTTGAGCACACACAATAGTCCTCCTGACGTTGCAAATGTGTTTTCGACTTTGGGAGAGTGGAAATGCAAGTTTCAAGTGTTCGGGGGCTGGCTGTGGAATTGGCACTGCTGTTAGACCAACACCTGTTTTTATAGCCCAACCCGACAGCGTCACTGGAGGCTGGTAATGTCAAATCACTCGCTAAGCTTTGCACTGCTGATCTTTCACGCTGGGAAGGTTCTAATGGCATAACCCTGGAAGGAGCTTTATGTTCTGGTGATAGGACAACACAGATCTCATTGCGAGGTGAGTGAGTCTGGAGGACAAAAGCCTGAGCTTCTTTCTTCAAAATCCTAAAAATGTACAGATCACTTTTATTTGACTTTTTAAAGCAAGAATAATACTGTATTGATCTAAAAAAACCCCAACAGTCAGATTTGCTACATTTAAACAGGAATTGTCCGGAATTTTTACCCAATAAGATATAGCAACAGCAAAAAGGAATAAATCTGAATCTTGCACTATGATAAAATGACATGAAAATAGAGGAAACACGTTACAAACAGAGATCTTTACCAGGAGGGACCACACCTGGGCATTCTCAGCCAAATGGAGCCTAAAACAGCAATGCCTGGGCAGGTAAGGTGCCTTACAGATCCAGTGAATGAGGTAGGCCGCAGAACCAGGGCAGGATATTAGCAGCATGCTAGGTCAGGTTGTGTGCATATTGCACTCTGGGGTGCACCTTCTTGCAAGTGCTGCATTCTCACTGCTAGACCATGCATACTCTGGAGGGCAATATAGATATTTTCTGGATTTTGTCCCACCCTCATTCTTTTTAGATATAGTCTCATCCAGTGACATGTGTGTACCATAGTAGAAATCCCTCTGACGACCACATGCTGCATAGTGCACTGGTTCTCCCTGTTTTGCTCCCTTTTTTCTGCCTTGCACATCTGCACAGGCATGGCCAGGATTTATGGTTTGGCGTTTCAATAAGAAACTACAACCTCTTAATCTCTGAGTAGATGAACCAAGCAAAATCCCTGCACGAAAAAGCAGCATTTTTAGCCTGGCAGCCTCTAGTCAGATCTATTGCCTTTATATGGACAGAAATCTTTCTCCTTACTAGAATATCTCCGTTCTGTTACATATTTAAAATAGAGGTGGCACTAATTGGAATCCTTCATGCATTTTTTAAAGCACTCTCTTTGGGATTACACTGTTACTTATCTTCCAGAATGGAAATACAATAGCAATAACACGAAGATGGACAGCAGATCAAGTCAATTATTTTTAAACACAATTGTTAACGAATGTAGTGAGAATGCTCACGACCCTAAGTGGGGGCCTCTTCCATTTAGATTTAGACATTTCCCCCCCCGAAGTAATCACAAAGTACTAAACTTCAGGGCCACACATTGTTGTAATGTTCTGGTCTCAGCATTTTGTTGGCCAATTAATAAACTGTGCATTCATACCACCGTGCAAGTTCGTTGCTATGAATCTGATCCAAAGACAACTGAAATCAGTTGGAATCTTTCCATTCACTTCAGTGTGCTTTGAATCAGTCCCTGAATGCTTAAGTAGAAAAATACCCGTATTTAGGATTGGTCTGTTACTCGTAGGCTCATGAGGGAAGTGAATTTTAACATTTACTTTTCTTCCTTGGTCACAAGCTTATACTGAAGAAAACAGCAACACGTCAGGATTAGAGAGACAACCACCAACAGAGCACTCATGGCAGCAATGATTAGGTCTCGCTTCGCGAATCCAATATCCCCTTCTGCTTGATCTTCTGAGAAGCCTTCTAAAAAAAACCAGAGTGTTAAATCGCTACCAGAGTTTTTCTTTAAAAATGCAGCATGTAGCAGGTTAAAAATGGGGTTGAATCATTGGAGTGGCAGGACTGGATTATGAAAACACAAAAAATGTAGAATAGAATCCCCTTTATTGGTACCCTGGTAAGTGGCTCTCTTGCTGAACTGGGGTGAAGGCCAATGCACAATGCATTCTACTGTAATAACTAAGCCAATGGCTCCGGAACTCATTGTTCTTGAGCTGCAGAAAGCCAGTCAGGACTTAAGGAGGAGTGAATTGCCACATTAGTCACTCTTCTGAATCCTAAGCCGTGACAGCAGAGCGCCAACCAAAGGAGTGCACCCCAACATACCACATGAAGAAAGAGGAGAGAGTGCTGAGCAAAGTGACTCCACAGAGTGTGGAAAATGCTGGAATCAGTTTCCTAAATTCCCTTTCCCCCCACTGGTATATAGAATCCGAATCCTCCTAGAGTAGGAATATCCTTCTCTTCCCTTCCAGCCCTTAGAAGGGAACCCTCGTCCATCCGAAAAGTAAGGGATGTGAGGGGGAGAGGGAATGAGCCAGTTCTGGTAAGGTAACACAGCATTCCCTAGTTATGCAGTGTCACAACACTGCAACAGCAGGAGGTCATTGTGACAATCCTTTTGTGGTTCTCCTGGACTCAGATAATGACATGGTTTTGCAGCGGTTACAGGTCTCACTCCTTCAAATGGCAGCTTGATGACACTCTCAGTCCATTTAAATGGTAACACTATTGTTGGCTGCAAGCCCTTTAAATTAACCACCTCAAGAGGTGTGAGTTGGTGTTAGCAGAACTTCATACTGTGTATTGTGTGCTTCCATGCACTATTATGGATGCTATACATGGGAAATAGCATCCAAAAGACTGTCTACCTTTGCAGGAATCCACCTCTCAGAATGCCAAGGAATATCTGCCGAGTTGGCTCAATTTCTCATTCGTTCTGGAGCTTCCCTGAGATTTGAGTGGTGAAAGGGAGATTACGTAATTCTGGGACATGCTGGACCTTGGGAAACCTTTAAACTTGCAAATCTAGAGAAGCCAGCAGCAAACCATAGTCCAGAGGAGAGTATGGCGCACCCAATAGAATATTGCCTGCAAAATCCTACTTATTACTATTAGTGCAGTAGCTTTTCTGCTGCCTGCCTTCCCACCCCACACGCCTGCTCCCACTGCCTGGGTTGTGGGGGGACAGATCTTGAAGGGGTACTAGTGACTTGTTCTCACCAGGGAAAAATGTCACACATGGAGCTGCACAAAACTTGGCAGCTATTTCCCTGGAGTCAGTGAAAGGAGGACAGGGAAGGCCACTTTCAAGCACCAGCAACTCTCCTGAGGAGCTCTCTCCTAAGTATTTTAGAGCATTACCAGATCTGAAATAGGGTGAAACATTCGTGTTTTGTATGGACGTGTCAATATCTGCTGTAAATACTGTATGCTTTGTGACAGACCCAGACCAGTGGGGTACAGGAGTCTGGTAGAGGGCAAATATACTGGTCACTGGATGAATAGTTACTAGAGTAATCAGGAACCTGCTAGAATCAGTTAAGGCCGGCAGGCTAATTAGGACACCTGGAGCCAATTAAGAAGAAGCTGCTAGAATCAATTAAGGCAGGCTAATCAGGGCACCTGGGTTTTAAAAAAGGAGCTCACTGCAGTTTGTGGTGCGAGTGTGAGGAGCTGGGAGCAAGAGGCGCAAGGAGCTGAGAGTGAGAGGGTGTGCTGCTGGAGGACGGAGGAGCACAAGCGTTATCAGACACCAGGAGGAAGGTCCTGTGGTGAGACTAAGGAAGGTGTTTGGAGGAGGCCATGGGGAAGTAGCCCAGGGAGTTGTCGCTGTCATGCAGCTGTTACAGGAGGCACTATAGACAGCTGTAGTCCACAGGGCCCTGGGCTGGAACCCGGAGTAGAGGGCGGGCCCGGGTTCCCCCCAAACCTCCCAATTGACCTGGACTGTGGGTTCTTCCAGAGGGGAAGGTCTCTGGGCTGTTCCCCAACCCACATGGTGAATCTCTGAGGCAAGAAAATCCACCAATAAGCGCAGGACCCACCAAGATAGAGGAGGAACTTTGTCACAGCTTATAATCATTTCAAACATCAGCCTTAGATTACAGGTTGTCATGTTGAGCACCAGACCTTCAGAAGAAGCTACTGGTTCCCTCTTATTAGCTGTGGAGCAGCCACATATTAAAAAAGAGAACAGCAGAAAAATAATGGTGTAAACAGCCCTGCTTCCTTGCTTGTCCCAAGCTTGCTATTCATACGGTTTCTATTGGCTGGCCAATAAGCATTGCATTTGCATCACTGTCTGAGGATTATGACATCACTGACATACATACATAACTGCTAACCGCATCATTTAATCAGTCATGTAGAACTGAAGGTATAAAAAATCTTATTTTAAACTGTGCATTTCATAAATCATTTGTTATTTTTAACATTATGTTAATGTAGCACATGGGTCGGCAACCTTTCAGAAGTGATGTGCCGAGTCTTCATTTATTCACTCGGATTTAAGGTTTCGCATGCCAGTAATACATTTTAATGTATTTTAACATAGAAGGTCTCTTTCTACAAGTCTATAATATATAACTAAACTATTGTTGTGTGTAAAGTAAATAAGGTTTTTAAAATGTTTAAGAAGCTTCATTTAAAATTAAATTAAAATGCAGAGCCCCCCGGACGGGTGGCCAGGACCCAGGAAGTGTGAGTGCCACTGAAAATCAGCTCACGTGCCGCCTTCGGCACCCGTACCATAGGTTGCCTACCCCTGGTCTAGGAGATGAAGGCCTAACATGAGCCAAAGGCTGGAAGTTGAAGCCAGAGTAGAAATCAGGGGCCAGAGGGTAAATAGCCATTGGAACAACTTCCCTAGGGGCAGCGTCTATAGCGGAAGTCTTTAACTCAAGAGCGGAAGTCTGTTTCTAAAAGACGAGCTATAGCTCAACCAGAAGTTATGGACTTGAAGTAGAAGTTTAGCGAACCCCTCCTCAAAGCCTTTTTAAAACCGTCCCTGCTAGAAAGACACATAGATTTTTAAAATGGGGAGGCCATGTGGTCATGCCTCATGTGTGAATTTCACTGACACTAGGGGAGAGCGTACTCTTTAATCACTGGGTAACTGACTCGATTGATTCCTCGGTCAATCAGAGTTTATGCTGGACTAATTCTGGGCTCCTGGGGACTGATTGAACAGGACGCTAGCTGGGCCGTGGATAGGGTTTCAAAAAGACATGCCTCAGGGGCGTGAGCGAAGTGGGTAATTGCAGAAGTAAACGATCCGTTTTGTGTGGTCACCGTGCATTGTATTGGGCGCACGTCTGGGGTGCCCGTTTCTGTCCCCGTCGTGCAGCCTGTCGTATTCACAGCCTGCACTTGCTTGGGCTTGGAAGAGCAAAAGAGTCACAAGTTTATTATTTATTTGTACTCTTGTGCCGGCCCCAAGCGAGATCAGGGCACCGTTGTAGAGGCGCTGTAGAGACGCGTCGTGAGTGACAGTCCCTGTCCCAAAGACCTCACACTCTGTAATGGTGTCATTCCTGAGGCATGCCAGGAACAGTCTAGTTATTACTTAGTCTTGTCTGAGAGCAGGGGACTGGACTAGGTGACCTACTGAGGTCCTACTTCTAGCATTAGAGATTTGTGCTATGGCTGAATTTTCACCCCGTATTTCCTCATAGAGCGCGGGAAAATAAACGCACGAGGGTTTAGTGATCCATTGCAAACCAATTCCAACCACTTTCCTCGCTCAGAATTACATCCCAGGTTCACGTCTACCCATTGCCTGGATTTCCTGTGTCATGCCCGGTAGCAGCCAGCAGGCCAGGCAGTCGGTGTGCGGGGGCTGCGGGTCTGTTACCCCCTGCGCTGTCCTAGCCTGCTGCATTCCAGCTGGGCTCAGCCGGGGAGGCAGCTCCCCGTTAGCGGGGCTGCCCTGCAGGTTACCCCTGTAGCAGGGGCTCTCGGATGCTGGCGGGGAAGGTGGCCCAGGGGCACGGGTTCCGTTTCAGCCGGTGTCATGTGAACATGCCCCCTCAGTGCCCAGACGCAGCTCGACCTGCCCCATGCATAAGTCCCACATGCCTGGCACTGGGTCCGTGCTGTGGATTTGGGGGACGGGTGGCGTTCCCTGAGATCAGCCTCAGGCCCTGGGAGAGCATCAAAGGGACTGTCTTGAATCGGAGCGTCAGGCCCATGTCTGGATCCCCTACCCGCCAGCCTGTGATCTCAGCACGGTTCGATGCGAAGCACGTCCTGGCACGTCCTGATCTGGGGCAGCTGGCAATTAACGACCCTCATTCGGGGTGTCACATTAATTAATATCGTCTTGAGAGACGCGTCCGGGAACAACAACCACAACTAACTGCCCCGATGCCGTTTCTTTGTCCGCGTGCAGCTTAGGGGCCGTTTCGGAAGTGGCGGCCGCTGGGGTTATTGGAACGGGGACACACAACACGGGCATCAAACACGGCATCCTGCCTACCCAGGTAAGGCCCGGACCTGGCGGAACGCGGGCTGGCCAGGGAACCAGAACTCTGTTGGGTGAGAAGCTTCAGAATAGGTTTGGTTGAAAACGAGCCCTGTGGGAAGAGAGGGAGACCCCCGGGGGGTAGGACGCGCTCAGCTGGGCTGTGACAGACCCCGAGTCGAGTGCCAGCGCTGAATCCGGCAGGGCAGGACCTTGAACCCGTAACTGGGCCGGGAACGGTTTGCCTGACCTGTTTCAAGTCAGACACAGGGTGCTGTTTATCCCCCACTATAAACCAGCTCAGAATTCACTGCTCGGTGTCCAGTTCATCTGCCCAGGCCCCAGCCTCCGAGGGAGGAAACTCCCTGAGGTTGAGCTGCCGGGGCGCTGCCCGCAAAGGGGGTCTCTGCTCATGGTGCCTGGAAGACGGCGGATTTTCCCCATTGTAAAGTGAGCGGATCCCTTCCTCCCCATGGCTGGAATATCGCAAATCCACCCCCTGTCCTGCCCGCCAGCCCTGCTGCTGCTTTCAGTTCCTGAACAGGGAGAAGTGGGAGGGGTTAATACCAAACGCTTGATCCTTTCATGCCCTTCACCTCTCAGTTAATGACTCCTCCTCACACCCCTCGGAGAGAGGAGAGTCTGGTGGCGGGGCACAGATGCAGCGCATGGGGCTGGCCGCTCCCTCTGCTGGTCCGTCAGCGCAGCCCCCGCTGTGTGCCAGCTCTCGGCCAGCAGGGCCCCACCCCCGTCCCGTTTCCGGCCAGTGCTGGCTGCGCGCTGCGAGCTGTGGAGGCTGGTGTGTGCAGGGAGGCGCCAGGCGGCAGCCGGTTACGTGTCACCTCTGCTGCCTGTAGTAAGAGGAGGCCCTGAAACATAAACCCTTGTATCAGAGGCCTGGTATGATGCCTAAGGCCTGAACTAAAGTAATAGTTTGTGGTCATTGGGGGTTCTCTCGGGTTTGTTGTGCCAGCGATCTGCAGAGCCGGGGCAGCACACAGAGGGAACACGCACGCAGCCAACTGTTATCAACATTGAACAGAGCAGAGCACCACACCGGTAGCGTCTGACAACATTGGTGACCCCGATGTGATCCTCAAAGGGCTCCCAACTCCCATTGACTGCAGTGATGGGATTTGAGGATTTGGGCCCAGGAGCCTCAGTCATGAACTGCCTCCCCCCTCCTTTGGCGCCAGACACCTTGCAAGCACCGATCAAAGGGAATATCCCTGCCCCAAAGAGCTTCCGATCACAGTATAAGACAAGAGACAGCCGACGGGTGTAGACAGAGGGGGGGACCGTAAGGGAACTCAAAGAGACGCTTGGGCAGCCTGGCAGCTGTCGAGGGTAGGGTAGGCGTGGTGGCTATAGCAAAGGCTGGGGGTGGCTCCGTAGCCCTGCCAGCCATTCCCCACAGGGCGATCCTCGCGCAGCCTCTGTGGCTGGGAATGCCACGTCATTGTCTCCCCCCCGACAGGTGGTGGCGCTAACGCTGCTGACGGCTTCGGGGGAGATCCTGGAATGCTCTGAGTCCATCAACGTCGAAATCTTCCAGGCCGCTCGGCTGCATCTCGGCTGCCTGGGCGTGGTCCTGACCATCACCTTCCAGTGCGTCCCGGAGTTCTACCTTCTGGAGACCACCTTTCCTTCCACCCTTCAGGAGGTACCGTAATGTCCACAATAGAAGCGGGAGGACAAAACGATAGGCCCCTCTCTTAAGCAGCCTCCGTGGTAGGTGAAATGCCGTGCATGGCGAGACAAGGTTTTCTGGCCCAGGTTGGACGGGGAGCGACTGTAGTCAGTTAAGGAATATCCCCCACTTGCCATACGCCCCCCACATGCATTTATGATGCAACCCAGCATGGGAACAGATTTATCTTTAAAAATGGGAGACTTTCACGCCGATGATTGAGTGACCGATGGGGAGTCTCGTTTCTTTGGAAATGGAGTTTTAATTTCCCAAATGGGTGCACGGGGGTAAGGTAAAGTCCGGCAGGTTTGCAGCAGCCGGTGTTTGCGGGAGAGGGGGAACTGAGGCAAGTTGGCTGCCTTAGTATCACAGGGATGAATGGGTTTATTTCTTAAGAGGGACATTGACAAGATTAAAGTGATGGGCTGGACCCACTCATTTGCTCTGGCTGCTTTCCACTGCTCCAGCACTGCACAGCAGCCTGTGACTGGCCCTGCTACCCCTTTGGGGTGCTGAGAGAGTCCAGGAGGAGGCTGGGGCAGGAAGCCCAGGGCTCTAGGACTCTGGATTGGTAGGCAAAGGCTCATGGGTGGAGCGTGTCTGTCAGCCTCCCAGAGAGGCAGGTGGGGCCTATCAGAGGAGGAAGTGAAGGCAGGAGCAGCTGTTTGCTGAAGTGATGGGGGCAGAGGGTAATCGCTGTGGGAGTACAGGCTGCATGGTGAGGGGAGCCTGTGAGTTAATTTTACTTTAACTCTCAGGAAAGGGGCTTTCAGACTGTTTGTGTCCTGTGGAGAAAGGGGAACCAGGGGCCTTAATTTGCTTTAACCCTGGAGACAAGGGCAGCTGGGCTCTGAGTTTGGGACACTGAGGAGAGGGGATCTGCGGTGCAGCCTGGGAGGACACTGGTTATTTTCAGTTTGGAAGGCGCTGGGTTGAGTCGCAGGCTGTGGCTGGAGAAGCGACATTTGCTTTCTTGGTTTGTTTGGTTCCTTTTTAGCTGAAGGATGCACCATAAATCCAGTTCAACCAGCCAGGCCCACTGGATCTGCAGCTGCTTTGTGCTGTCAGAGCCTGGTGGTAAATCTGTCCCCAAACATTTATAATGTGTTCACTGCTCGGCTAGTTTTCACAACTGAAAATATTTCAAACATCTGTTTCCCACTGATGGTGTTTGTTTGCTTTTTGCATTTATCCCATCCTGGAGAGTGAGAGTGGATTAGTCAGTTTCATTCTTTGTTTCTGGTCAGTTTCATGTCTTGGTGTCCAGGGACTAGCCAAATGCAGCAGTCTTTAAGGCTGCAGGGCGAGGCTCAGATGTTTGAAGCATTCTCATGGAATTCATGCTTTTAAAGATTTCATGGAAACATCTTGGGTGCTGGAAATGGCTTAGTGGGAGGGGCACAAAACAGGCCCTCAGGAGTCTATTCCTGACTCTCTGCCACTGGTTTGTTGGGTGGTTTCGGGCGAGTCATTTCCCCGCCCCGTGCCTCAGTTTACCCATCTGTAAAATGGGTAGAATGCTGCTGCCCTCCTTTGCAAGGCCCTTTGAGATCTGCTGATGAACAGCGCTATGGAAGAGCCAAGTATTATTAAATGTGGTCCTACGTGATTTGGCTGTGTCCCTTCTGAGGCCGATCTTTTTCCATCAGAAGTTCAGGCTGTGCGTGCGTACACGGTTAAGCGCTAGGTGCAGCCCTCCTGCCAGGCCCTCCACCCTACTCACAAGAGGGCGGGGTAATAAATGAGCAGGGCGAATGGGAGTGTCTGACGCGACAGGGGTTTAAGCATGTTCCTCGTGGTGCTAATGAGCAGTTAGTTCCGTGCTAGGCAGGAGTGACCTGGGGGTTGTGCAGCAGCTTTCTAGTCAAATCAGGATCCAGTTCGCCTGCTCTCCCGCTGTGTGCAGCACTTTCTGCCTTGGGCGTGTGCACCTGGCACTCAGCACCTGCCCTGCACAGGGTCCAGCCCGCAGTTTGTTCCGAAATCTGCTGGGCCCAGCTGGGGCAGAGTTGCAAGGAAGGCGTGTCTGGGAGAGGCAATGATCGTGTTATGGGGCAGGGCGGTTATGGGATAGTTTTCCTGGTGTTTTTGCACCATGCAATGCTATAGGGTTCTCTCCACTCAGCCCAAGGAAACCGTCCATAGGGCTTAAGCCAACAGGGTCTCTCCTGAAGACAGGCCGTGTTAGTGGGTGAGTTCCACTGTCACAACATGGGCGGGAGGCAATGGGTCTCATGGCGTGTCACGGGTAATCCTGCTCTGCAGAGTCTGCTTCCAGCTGCAAAGGGGGTGGCTCAGGATCAATGGAAACTGCTCATTAGAGTTGCCAGGCAGATGTGCATCGTTAGTACTGTGCTTATATCTCTGGGCACTCTGGTGGGTGGCGCCAGGAAAGTGCCTTTGCAGGGCAGCACGATGTCACTCTCCGAATCCAGGGCACCACATACGCCACTTCTCCCGGAGAGCCACTGCAGAGCTCACCTGCCGGATCTCAGGCAAAGGAGGTGGAGCACCAATCTCAGGAGTGAATTTGGGAATGATCACTGTTTAAAAAAACTCTGCTAGATTCCTCAAAAGCCACAACTGAGGAAGGAGGCCATATTGGTTAAAAATCAACCTGGTTTGCGAGCGAGGTGAAAGCAGTGATCAATTATATGTGAACCAAATGGAAGAAAGGTGAAGCTGATGGTAATGAATGTAAATCAGAAGCTACGAATTGTTGAAAATTGACCAGGGAAGCAAAGGGACACCAGGAGAAATTGATGGTTAAGGACGATACAAAGGAGGTTTTTGAATATATTAGGAACAAAAGGAATCTTGACAATGATCTCAGACCATGAATAGATGGAAATGGAATAAATATCAATAGTAATACAGAAAAGGCAGAAGTGTTCAGTAAATATTTCTGTTCTGAATCTGGGGGGGAAATGATGATGTAGTCATAGCTAAGGCTACGTTTTAGTCACGGGTATTTTTAGTAAAAGTCATGGACAGGTCATGGGCCGTAAACAAAAATTCACGGCCTGTGACCTGTCCATGACTTGTACGATACCCCTGACTAAATCTTGGGCGTGCTGCGGGTGCTGGGGGAATCCGTCACCTCCATGACAAACTCACAGCCTTAGTCATAGCATATGGTGATTCTCTTTCCATTCCACTAGTATCTTTGGAGGATGTTATATAGCAGCTACTGAAGTTAAATCAGCAGCTCTAGATAACTTGCAAGAGTTGTAAAAGAGCTGGCTGAGGAGCTCTCTGGACAGTGAATGTTGATTTCCATAAGTCCAGGACTGCTGGGACAGTTCCAGTAGACTGGAAGAAAGCTAAAGATCTGCCAATATTTAAGCAGGGTGAACAGGATGACCTGGGTAACTATAGGCTGTCATTATAACATTGATTCTGGGCAAGATAATGGAGTGGCTGTTACGGGACTCAATTAATAAAGAATTAAAGGAGGGTAATGTAATTAATGCCAATCAACATGGCTTTATGGAAAATGGATCCTGTCAAACTAAGTTGATATCGTTTCTTTTTTTTCTTTTTTGAGATTTCAAGTTTGGTTGATAAAGGGAATAATGTTAATGTAAAATGTTGATGTCCCCCTTAATCTCCTCTTTTCCAAACTGAATGTACCTAGTTCCTTCAGCCTTTGCTCACATGGTTTACATTCCACCCCTTGGATCATTTTTGTTGTTTGTCTCTGGATCCTTTCCAGTGTCTCTCCATCCTTTCGATACATTGGTGACCAAAACTGGACACAGTTCTCCAGCTGAGGCCTAACCAGCGCCCGTGACTTGCATGCTATGCCTGTTAATGCAACCTAAAATTGCATTTGCTTTTTTCCTTTCTGTTCCCAAATAGCTAGGATATGGCCTGCATCAGTATCGATGCAAGAACGAGGTTTTCTTATCTGAACAGCTCACAGCCTCCCTGTGAGGTAGGGCAGGGCTATCCAATGGTATTTAAGTGCCTAACTGTCTTGGAAGATCTGGGTCTAAGTGACATGCCTATGGTCTCAGAAAGTCTGTGGCAAAGCCAGGAATTGAATCCAGGTCTCCCAAGTCCCAGCTAACTCCCTGTCTTGATAGAAATGCCCTCCCTCATCTTGCTGAGGTCACATAACTTCCCATTGCCTCAGTTTCTCTGTCTGTGGAATGGGGATAATACCAGTCTCTCAGGGCTCTCAGGATTAATCAGTGAGTGTGTGAAGATGGAAATCACCATATCAATATCAATACCCATATCGACCCTGTGGGTTTTTGCCCATGCCCTGTAGTTCCCCCATTTCCAGAGCCCCGGCTGGTTGACCCAGCGAGGTGGAAGAGAATAGCAAGACAGCAGGTGCTTTTAAGAGGAGTGCAGGGGCTGCTCGTAGATGGTTCGTGGTTTGGTCGGACCCGCCTGCTTTCTTGCTTCCTGCTCTGGCCTCGGGTTTCTCTTTAGCCCAGGCTACCCTGATGACACTCTGGGCCATTGGTTACACCCCCGGGGCGGGGTACCTGGGCAGTGCACAGCTTTCCATCACAGCTCCGTTATTCTGTGAAGACGAGCTGCTCCCAGGGGGAGGGGGCTGCTCGGCAGCCAGGCAGGTGCCTCCCCACCCCTCCCGGAGACAGAGCAAACAGCCAAACAGCTACAGGCACGGGGCTGACGCCAGCTGGAGCTCCAATCTGCAGAGCCCTTCTGGTATCGAGGGACCCATGACCATTTACACCAGCTGAGGATGTGACCCTGGGTGTTAAGGCCCCCACAGCACCTAGCGAGTAATCTTGTCCACCCGTGTGAAACTAAGTAGCTTTAGGCCTGGCCAGTACTTGGATGGGGAGACCTGTCAGACATGGTAGGTGGTGATAAGCAGTGTTGTGCTGCTGTCTGTCAGATGGGATCTGAGGGCCATGGCCCTGGCCAATGGGGATCACTGATGGTCTGAGGGTTGTGGAGCATTTTATGGGTGGGAGGGTTGGATTTGCAGGGGAGTGGGGGAAATGCATCTCCTGTTATTGTCAGGGCTGGCGGTGCCGACATTTGGAGGGGGACGGGGGCTCTCTAGCCCAGCAGCCCCCTGATAGCAGCCAGCTGTCTGCCCCCCCAATGTGGCAGCTGAGCATGCTCACCGCTTCAGCTGTCACCACAGCCCTGTCCCCCTCCCAGCTCCACTCTCATTGAACCGGCTGTCAACAACCCTCCCCTCACGTTCCTCCCCGCTGGCTACACCCGCGGCCCTCTCCCATCGGCTTCAACCCTCGGCTCCACTGCGACTGCTCTCACCACGCCTCCCATGGCTTCCTGCCCCCTCCCCCCCAGGCCACTGCCCCCCCTCTCCCCTGTCCTCCCCAGCCTCCGGGCTGCTGCGGTCGTGGCCAGTCACACTGTCCACAGAATCCTGCCCTGCCTTGGCGTCCCCGGCTCGTTCCCCAGTCCAGCCTCCTGCCTCTCCCATTGGCCGTTCAATAGCGCCGAGCAGCCTTGTTGTGGAGCAGGCCCGCGCTGAACAAACAGACTGGGCCAAAGAGCTCATAATCTCAGTACACTCCCCTGCCCCCCGCTCGGCCAGTGACACCAGCCTATCACCCATCCGTCCGCTTCCCCCAAGCCCTGTCATGCTTCCCTGCATGCTGCCTCTTATGTATGGAGCGCCCTCCCCACACTGATGTCTAGAGCCACTGGAGAGGGACAGGACGGCCTTGTGAGTCACTGGAGTGGGACTTGGGAGACCTGACTTCAGTTCCCAGCCCTGCCACAGACACTCTGTGTCACCTTGGGTGAGTCACTTGAGCCTGGACCCTCAAATGTATTTAACTCCAGTTGATTTCCATGGGAGCGAGGTGCCTAAATGCCCTTGAGGATCTGGCTTTAACCTCTCTGGGTGTGTCTACACTGCACAGTAAGCGCAGGCTCTGGCTCAGGTTTGAGTCACACAAATCAGGCTGACTGAGATTCTGCTCCAAGTCCTGCCAATTTGCGGTGTGGACGCAGCTCAAGAGCAGACTCTAGCTGGAAGGTCTGTGTAGCACAGTGTGGGACCCATTAGCAGGGCGGAGACTTGGGTCCAGCAGCTGTTAACCCAAGTTTACTATGTAGTTTGTTGCTGAAGTGCAGGCTTGGAAACACCCAGTCTCCAAGCCCGGTTTGCCATGCAGTGTAGACGCACCCTTTGTGTGTGACCTGAATAACCTGTTGATACCAATGGGCTCAATTCTCTTATTGGTCGGACACCAGAGAACTCAGGCCTGGTCTATATATACAATATAATGGGGGCTAATGTAGCTACAACTCATCAGGAAAGAGATCTTGGAGTCATCGTGGATAGTTCTCTGAAGATGTCTACGCAGTGTGCAGCGGCGGTCAAAAAAGCAAACAGGATATTAGGAGTCATTAAAAAGGGGCTAGAGAATAAGACGGAGAATATCTTATTACCCTTATATAAATCCATGGTACGTCCACATCTTGAATACTGCGTACAGATGTGGTCTCCTCATCTCAAAAAAGATATACTGGCACTAGAAAAGCTTCAGAGAAGGACAACTAAAATGATTAGGGGTTTGGAATGGGTCCCATATGAGGAGAGATTAAAGAGGCTAGGACTTTTCAGCTTGGAAAAGGGGAGACTAATGGGGGATAAGATAGAGGTATATAAAATCATGAGTGGTGTGGAGAAAGTGAATAAGGGAAAGTTATTTACTTGTTCCCACAATATAAGAACTAGGGGCCACCAATTGAAATTAATAGGCAGCAGATTTAAAACAAATAAAAGGAAGTTCTTCACACAGCGCACAGTCAGCCTGTGGAACTCCTTACCTGAGGAGGTTGTGAAGGCTAGGACTATAACAGGGTTTAAAAGAGAACTAGATAAATTCATGGAGGTTAAGTCCATTAATGGCTATTAGACAGGATGGGTAAGGAATGGTGTCCCTAGCCTCTGTTTGTCAGAGGATGGAGATGGATGGCAGGAGAGAGATCACTTGATCATTACTTGTTAGGTTCACTCCCTCTGGGGCACCTGGCATTGGCCACTGTCGGTAGGCAGGATACTGGGCTACATGGAACCATTGGTCTGACTCAGTATGGCCATTCTTAGGTTCTTATGTCTACATGAGGAAATTAGGACAGTGTAACCATGTCGCTCAGGGGGGTGAAAAAACCACCCCCCTGAGCAATGCAGCTAAAGCAACCCGACCCGCAGTGTAGACAGCACGAGGCCCCCAGACAGTGCCCCCACGCAACCCCCACAGAAGGGGGACTAGAAGTTCCTTTGCACAATGACCCTTGTAACAATGGTCTGGTCCATCCTGGCTGCACAGGCTGGTCTAGTGCCCCGTGGCCAGGCGGCTGCAGACCACACTAGCCTTCGCACTGATCACAGGCACCCTGTTGGGGGTTCTGAGCTCCCCAGGGCGTGTGTCTGGTGGGCGGGGCAGGGCTGCTATTTAATATAGTTATTATTTCCATCACAAAGTGCCCTCGCATCTGGCTTCCCCACCCCCAACTGCCAGGCCCCTGATCTGTCCCAAGTGCTGAGCTCTGAGCACCAGGACAAGATACCCACCATCAGGGAGCGGTTCCCCAGGGCCTGTGAAGTAGCTCTTGGATGTCTGCTGCCTCTGACATATGGGCTAATGTGCCGCTGCCCTCTATGGGATGCAATCGGAACTGCTCGCCTGTGTGCCATAGACCCCAGACTGTAACCAACAACCGGAGATTCTCCTTTAGCGTACGTTGAAGAGACCTGGGATTTTTGGAGCCGAGTGTCTGAATTCAATGGATGCTGTTATCACGAATTCCCTAGTGGCTTATAATCTAGGCGCCAGTGCAGTTGGGGCTTGGGCATTTTTACCACCAGTTTGTCTAGACGTGCTATGAGTCTGGTTAGATAACACAAAGGGGAAAATCAGAGTGAGAGTGAATTACAGGCAGTGCACTTACTAGTGTTGCAGTCACACCAGAGGATCAGGGACACAAAACTGTCTCTGCCCTCAAAGAGCGTACAAACAGTAGTGGACGGGCTCCATGCAGTTCCTGGAAACACGTGCCAGGCCACTCTCCAAACTCCTTGGTGCTTGAGAGCTGATCTCCAGAACGTGAGAGGGGAAAGGATCATGTAACTCTTCTGTTCCCATGTTCCTTATTCACTGTCCCTTAATTCTTAGCATTTGATAATAAACTTGTGATTCTTTTCACTATCAGTCTATCTCAGTGCTGTGATGCTCTCGGGGAGCTGGTCCTGAGTTGAATTGGGCAGGCTGGGGTGCACTGTTCCTTTGGGGACAGCACGACTGGTATTGCTGTGGGTTTTCAGTGGAGAAGGGGTTGGACGTGACAGAGGAACACGTCAAAAGGCCTTGGGGACTGGGATGCTCCTATTGTTATCCAGCTGGGGCAGAGAAAGGAGTTCATCGTCCAAGTCCAAGATCTGGCCTCAAGCCCCCGCTCTGCCAAACTCCCTGTGTGACCCTAATCCCACCGCTTCCAGATCTGTGCAATGGGGATGAACCCCACGTCCTTCGCGCGGGGGGAGGGGGATCCCATCACTGCCTCCTGCCCATTCACTGCATTCTTTCTCTGCCCCACGCAGGTGCTCGACAACCTCGACAGCCACCTGCGGCGATCGGAATATTTCCGCTTCCTGTGGTTCCCCCACAGCGAGAACGTCAGCGTCATCTATCAGGATCATACCAACAAGGTACGGCCTAGGCCACTGCAGCCCTGATCCTACCTTCCACCATGCCCCGGGGTGGGGTGAAGAAGCACACACGCACTGGTAGCAATGAAAAACCAGATCAGGCACCGTTTGAGATATAATGCCAGACCCCAGCCTTGAGGAAACCACCATGCTAGCGGGCACCAGTCATGCCTCAGGGACAGCCAGGCTCAGGGCCTTCTGCTAGTCTCCTCTCCCGAGGCTGGGATCTCCTCCTCTTTGACAGACTGAGGAGGGCCCTGCCTGGCCAATGCTTGGGTTGGAGTCTCCCAGTGTCCTTGAAGAAATGGTGGTGATGAGTCAGTGGCATTCCAAGCCGCTCCCATCAGGGGTGCTGTGGTACCGGGGGTGCCCTCCTATGGCCGAGAGGAGTGACTGAACCCCATGTCACTTGTACCCAAGACCCCATGATGCCTTGCACAAGATTATGACCCCAAACTCCTGGCCAGATTTGAATGGGGGCAGTTCCGTTTTGCCACCTTCATTCCCTAGCGACCGTTTTACGCTCCCTGTGAATGTCCTGGAGAGAGAGACAAAGGTGGCATGGGCTGCCAGTCTCCTCCTGCCAGGGGAAATCTCTGATCAGAGCTTTCATGTGATACCTTTCAGCCTCCTTCGTCCTCCGCCAACTGGTTTTGGGACTACGCCGCCGGATACTATCTGCTGGAGTTTCTGCTCTGGATCAGGTAGGGATGGATTCTTGTAGCGTTTTGGTGTGGCGCCCTGTTGCGGGTATGGCTGTTAAGGAGTCCACTTGGGGATATGCTGACGCAGCACGCCAGGCTGCTGAGGATTTACGTTTTATTGTTTGTTCCCTGCGTCTACAGAATAAATCTAGTACTAGGAGAAGAGGCAACCAGCCGTTCCGCCTGAATTAGGTCAGGGCACCTGATCTGGGGTAGAAGGAACTTGACTTGTAGTCTGGAACTGCCTGGGTTTTAGTCCTGGCTCTGCTGCTGACCTCAGAAGTCACCCTCCCCCCCCCCCCCCCACACACACACATACACTTTCTGTGCCTCAGTTTCCCCATCTTTGCAATGAGGATAATGGCTGGGTTTGGGACACAGAGGGTTGTGAGGATTAGTTTATCATGCATTTTGAAGATCTAAAGTTTCCTATACATGCTCGGTATTGCTAGAAACTGGTGGCAC